GGTTGGAACAATTCCGGGGGGGGGGGGGGACAAGGACTCCTTTATTCCCTTCCCAAGCAGCTGAGGAAGGAAGAGAGCAGCACCAGACGCTGGACCCGACTTACTGTTGTAGTAGGCAAACTGCAGGTAGTTGAAATGGGACGGGAGGAAATCCTCCAGGGGCTTCTCCCGACCGGGCTCAGAAGCGAGTTCCGTCACACACGCCTGCTTGCAGCTCAAGACTTGCAGGTAATGATCTGGCAAAGGCAAAGAGCCGATCGTTGGTGGAAAAGGCACGGCCGGGCTGCTGCAAAACCACTTGGGTCAGGGCTGGTGTAACTTTATATGGCCTCTGTGCTGCACAAATACATCTGCTTCATGCGCCTCACCCTGCATTTGCCATAATTAGATTCTACGTTTACTCTGCGCATCTAGCAACAGATGGGAGCGGTTTTCACCCTCTCTGAATGGACTGCGGATTCTTTGGGTATGCTTTTTCCATTGGCTTCTCTTCCTAAATCCTCCTCCCCCTTCTGTTGCTTGAACTCCAAATATAAGTTCTGCTGCTTTGGGTGGACATTCCAAAGCATCTGATGAAGCAACCTCTAAGGCACGAACGCTGATGCTGGAATGAATTTTGTTAGCCTTTAGGATGCCACTGGATCCCACGTAATTCGATTTGGGGTGTGGCATTAGGGATGGGGGGCAGGTTAACGCTCCCTCCCCACAATGGTTTTCCCAATCAAAAAAGTTTTCTTTCCAGGCTGCTTTAAACCCTAAGGGGGGAGGGGGGGGGGACAGGCACAATAGGGATGCCAGTCTTTTTCCCTACTGGGGTTAAAAGCAGTGCTGAGGAAGGGGGTCGTTTTCAGTTTGGGAAACAGCACAGCTTCCCCAGCACTCTAGCCTTATCCATATTCTACACGACAACCAGGGCTATTTTTGGGCAGGAACGCACAGGAACAGAGTTCCGGCTGGCTTCCAAGTTGGCCAAACCCAGCAGGAACTCATTAGCATAATAGGCCACACCCAACAGCAGACACTCATTAGGATTGGCTACATTAGGGGTGTGTGGCCTAACATGCAAAGGAGTTCCTGCTACAAAAAAGGCCCTGGGTTTTGACCACAAACAAGGTAAACAGAATAAGAAGCAAAAGGTGGGTGTGGCTGGATAACCACACTTCTGGTAACATGGGGGTGTGGCCTAATATGCCAATGAGTTGTGCTGTCAGGGGTGTGGCCTAATAGGCGAATGAGTTTCTGCTGTTGGGTGTGGCCTATTATGCTAATGAGTTCCTGCTGGGCTTTTTCTACAAAAAAAGCCCTGACGACAACAATATAAAGTGCATTTATTTTGACTATTCCAGGCTCCTTTGTTTTGTTCTATGGAGATTTCAGGCCATGCTGTCCATGACGTTTGTATCCCACCTCTCTTCCAAGGGGGCGTACATGATTCCCCCCTCTGCCATGTGATCCTCACAGTAACCCCGTGAGGCAGGCTAGGCTAAGAGAGAGTGACTGGCCCGCGGTCACCCAGAGAGCTTTCCAGGGGAGTGCACACTTGAACCCAAGTCTCCCCAGTCCCAGTCTAGCACTGCAAACACTACACACCACACAGATTACCAGGTCTGGAACCCAGCGGTGAATAAATCACAGGGCAAAGCGAGACCACTTGTGATGGCCTCAGAATTCCTTTCTGACATGGCGATCAAGGGGCCACAAAATCAAGCTGCAGTGAGATTGTGCAGCCCCATCGAGGCTTTTGGGGGTGGGGGCTTTGGCTCAGGTCCCTTTTCCCACTGTGATTTAGTCTATGTGCAGGTCCACTGGGGCGCACAGATAATATACCCAAGCCTCTAGAATTGGTTGCAGAACTAACATATGCAGAGATCGGGACAAAAACAGAAGGCTGGCCAAGCCCTGTCCCTATCTGGAATCCTAAAGTTTGGGGACAAATTGTCACGGGGCATATTTACGTAGCCCCTCTTCCCCTTCTTTTCACATGAGGTTTCCCATACGTTGCGCCGAGCTCACCAATAATAGCTTGGTAAAGGTCTGCATTGTATTCCAGATAATTATAGCCTTCGTAATCGTACGGCCCTTCGCAGAGGGCCCGGCAGTCCGTGTCAGCGATCCAGTACTCCTCCAGCGCCTTTTCCAGATGCAGAACAGCCGCTTGGGGTTGCTCTTCTGTGTAGTAGCTAACCCCCAGGCGGAATTCTTGCTACAGAACGTGCCACAAAGAGGAAAGAAAAGAGGCGTTTAAGGGCATGTATAGACACAAGTGGCTGCAAAAAAGTCTAAACAAGATTTCCCCAGGGATGACGGAATAGAGTTTGAATTGCCCTGCTTTGCTTTTCACTCGTTTCAAGTAGGATTCTGCAAAAGGAGCCACGTAAGCTGCATGATTTGGGGGAAAGCCGTGGCTCAGTGGTAGAGAATCTGCATTGCATGCAGAAAGTCCCAGGTTCAATCCCTGGCATCTCCAGTTGAAAAAAGGACTCTGCAATAGGAGATGGGGGAAGACCTCTGCCTGAGACCCTGGAAAGCAGCTGCCAGTCTAAGTAGGCAATACTGACTTGGATGGACCGTGGCTCTGATGCAGTAAGGCAGCTTCAGTTTACCAGGGCTGAGAATTCAGTTTACCCGGGCTGATTTTTGTTTGTTTTTGAAGAGGAGCGTCAACGATGAGAATTAAACAACTCGGAAAGGTAGACAGGTAGGCTAAGTGGGTCTTCAGCGGCAGGGCTACCTCCAGCTTTCGGGCTGGGGGGGTTTGGCTCAGGACAGTGGAACCCGCTTGTAAATATTCCCTACTTTTCAGGACCAATTTGTAAGTTGCGCCACACTACTTCCCCAGTCCCCAGACGTGAAATACCAGAATCCCACATCAGTTAACACTGAGCAATTTACATGCTATTTATTGTTCCCAAAATTTAGCATTACCAAGCCACAGGCTCTCTTTCACCGCCATTTTGCACCTTCTGCAGCCACAAACCTAAAACTGCCACCAAGCCTCCTCTCTCCACTCACCCTGTTCCTCTTCCTCCTCCTTCCTACACCCATGAGGAAGTCAGGACCCAGTTTCAGGGTCCTGAACCACTGTTCGGCAACCATTGCTTTCAGGGATGTCCGGCACAAATTTGATTAGTGCTACAGTTGTTATTGGGGTCAGATTTCCACCCACCCTCTAGCAATTCAGTTTCAGAGCAGGGGATGCATTTCATCTGCACTGTGCATATGTGAAAATGCACATGCACGAATAGTTTGCTTTTTAGCACACCGCAGTCGTTGAGGAATTTTGGACAAACAATAACAACTAGTGACACGTTAACCTTTTGTTCTAGCAAATCTTTCAGCCCAAAGAACGAACCACTCTCTTGGCTTTTAAGTCAACTTGAGGAAGACATAGGAGGACCTTAGAAGGATGGGGGACATAGAAGAAGAGAAAGAGCTGGTTTTATATCCCACTCTTCATTACCCGAAGGAGTCTCAGAGTGGCTTACAATCTTGCCTTCCTTTCCCCTCTCCAGAACAGACACCATGTGAGGTAGGTGGGGCTGAGAGAGTTCTGAGAGAACTGTGACTGACCCAAGGTCACCCAGCTGGCTGCATGTGGAGGAGGGGTGGGGAATCAAACCCGGTTCTCCAGATCAGACTCCACCTCTCTTAATCACTACACCAAACTGGCTGGATGAATGGATAGCAAGGTGGAATTCAGGACATTTTATCTGGCTGCTCCTCCAAGGAGCTCAGAGCACCATATATGGTTCCCTCCCCCTCCATTCTGTCCTCACAACCACCCTGTGAGGTAGGTTAGGCTGAGATCTGTTTGACCCAAGGACATGCAGAGAGCTTCAAGAGAGAGGTAGATTCGAACCCAGCTCTTCCCCAGCCCTAATCCCATGTCTAACCACCGCACCAAATGGCTCTTAATCAAAGCACACAAACCACATCTAGGTGGAGCAAACTTGGCCTGCCTCACAAAAGAGAAAGCCGGATTATACACCAGGTTGCGGTGCAACTACAAGTCTACTGAAGGAAGATAGCACAGTGGAAGAAATAAAAAGCAGAGCACGTGGATTGTCAGCTCACCATATGCGGCTTGGCTTCTAAATCGACAAAGTCCGACTCTTTCACCCCGGCCATCATCTGGTAATACTCCAGGTTCTGCCTCATCTCCATGTGGTCGGGATTGGCCACAAAAAAGGTGTGGGCCGCCGCCACGGCCTTGTCCAACTTGTTGATCTGAGAAAAACAAAGCAGAGGCTCAGCAAGGGAGAATGCAAGGTTCCGATCAAAAGGTTCATGTCGCTTTATCCAAGAACGACCACCAAAATCCCTCTAGGAAGCCCATGAGCTGGATATGAATCCAAGAACCCGTCGCCTGCTGCCATCACCTTGCAAACTAGCATTTACAGGTAGACTGCCAGTGTGTACGGAGGTTCTATGAAACTACGGCAGCAGTAGGCTTTGACCGATTTCTCCTCTGTGCATTTTTACTACCCCCTTTTAATGCAATCTATGCCTGTGGGCATCAGGGAATTAGAGCGTCGACTGGTCTTGAAATGTCATGTGGTGCACATTTAACAAACCTGTTTGACCCAAGGACGTGAAGAGAGCTTCAAGAGAGAGGTCTTCACAACCTGTAAATGCACAACCAATTCTGTCTTCACAACCACCCTGTGAGGTAGGTTTAACGGTTGGTCTAAGGTCAGCGGCACAGAGGTGATTCGAACCCAGCTCTCCCCAGTCCTAGTTTGACCATGACACCATGCAAACTTGGAGATCTGAACAGCACCGAGGGCATGGCCTGGGCCACATTAAGGGGTCATAGCTCAGTGGCAGAGCATCATCAAAGCGCACAAACCACATCTAGGTGGAGCAAACGTGGCCTGCCTCACAAAAGAGAAACCCGGATTATACACCAGGTTGCGGTGCAATTACAAGTCTACTGAAGGAAGATAAAGGTAAAGGTTCCCTTGCTCGAAAGCCAGTCGAATCCGACTCTAGGGTTGCGGTGCTCATCTCCGTTTCAAAGCCGAAGAGCCAGCGCTGTCCCCATGCATAAGTCTGGTAGAGACCTCAGGGCACACTTAGCTCTGGAGATGTAGGCAGGGCCTTTCTTCTGGTCTCTCTAGGTCCACCAAAGCCACAGTCCCTCCAGGGCAGCAAGCATCTGGCTGTTGTGGTACGCGCAGGCGTCATTTCCTGCAGGAGCACACAGGAGCGGAGTTCCGGAAGTAAAGAGGCCAGGGGGCGGGCACATGCAACAAGCCCCACCCCCTGCTCCCAGCAGCCCTCAGTCAAAGATAGCACAGCGGAAAAAATAAAAACCAGAGCACGTGGATTGTCGGCTCACCATATGCGGCTTGGCTTCTAAATCGACAAAGTCCGACTCTTTCACCCCGGCCATCATCTGGTAATACTCCAGGTTCTGCCTCATCTCCATGTGGTCGGGATTGGCCACAAAGAAGGTGTGGGCCGCCGCCACGGCCTTGTCCAACTTGTTGATCTGAGGAAAACAAAGCAGAGGCTCAACAAGGGAGAATGCAAGGTTCCGATCAAAAGGTTCATGTCGTCCGAAATGCTTTATCCAAGAACGGCCACCAAAATTCTTCTAGGAAGCCCACGAGCTGGATATGAATCCGAGAACCCGTTGCCTGCTGCCATCGCCTTGCCAACTAGCATTTACAGGTAGACTGCCAGTGTGTGCGGAGGTTCTATGAAACTACGGCAGCAGTAGACGCGCCTTTGAAACCTCCAACCTGGAGTAATGTTTGCACGCTCTATGAAATTAAAACAGAAATCAAAGCAAAGTAAAAAAAAAAATCTATTAAAAGCAGCATTGCCTTTTCACACCGAGGGGCTAACAGCAGCAGCGAGGGCCCGATTCTGCAAACCGCAGTATGGGAAGCGCTGCATCTCTCTCCCCTATTCGGCGTGAGGGTTTAGCTTCCACCCCCCCAGTAATGGCTTCTTTAAAGTACTGGGGTGGCGATGGTGTAGAAGAAGGAGACTGGTCACACAGGACAACATGGGACCGGATCCCTCCCTAAGTGTAATTCAGCTACATAATAAACATTTCAAACATAACCTCCATAAGCTAAAAGAAGCAGAATTAACAAGAGCTTGGTGGTGGAAAGTGCCATCAAGTGGCCGCTGGCTTTTGGCGACCCCGTAGGCAAAGAGGCAAGAGATGAACAGAGGTGGTTTGCCTTTGCTGGCCTCCGCGTCATTTGCAAATAAGTTACGCTAATGAGTTACGCTAATGAGTTCCTGCACCTATTTTTCTACAAAATGACCCCTGGGTGCGTGCCTTTGAAACCTCCAACCTGGACTAATGTTTGCACACTCTACGAAATTAAAACAGAAATCAAATCAAAGTAAAAAAAAAATCTATTAAAAGCAGCAGTGCCCTTTCACACCAAAAGGCTAACAGCAGCAGCGAGGGCCTGATTCTGAAAACCGCAGTATGGGAAGCGCTGCGTCTCTCCCCCCTGTTCGGCTTAAGGGTTTAGCCTCCGCCCCCCCAGTAATGGCTTCTTTAAAGTACTGGGGTGGCGATGGTGAAGAAGGAGGAGACTGGTCACACAGGACAACATGGGAACGGGTCCCTCCCAAAGTGTAATTCAGCTACATAATAAACATTTCAAACATAACCTCCATAAGCTAAAAGAAGCAGAATTAACAAGAGCTTGGTGGTAGAGAGTGCCATCAAGTGGCAGCTGACGTTTGGCGACCCTGTGGGCAAAGAGGCAAGAGATGAACAGAGGTGGTTTGCCATTGCCGGCCTCCGCGTCAGAAACCCTGGTGTTCCTTGGAGGTCTCCCATCCAAATACTCGTGAGAGCCAACCCTATTTAGCTTCTGAGATCTGATGAGATCAGGCTAGCCTGGGCTATCCAAGTCAGGACAATAGCTTACTATCCCTGTAATGATAATGAGCAATCCAGTAAAGCCAGCAAACTATTCATTGACAAAACATGTATGAGAGCTTTTGACTGTATAACCCAGGGCACAGACTTGGCCAATTGCATTGGCCATTTATCTCTATCTGCAGATAATATCACCAGTTTGTTCTGGTCTGACTTTCCCTGAGCATTGCGATAAAATATTCCTGAGATAGCTTTCGTGGTCTACTAAAAATCTTGGGCATCAAAGAATCCCATGAGCCAGATCTTCAACGGACACAGAAAGCCCAATATAAATCATGGTGGGGAAGTATTTGGGGGGGGGGCTCCTCCTCAAATGGGACTAAAAAGCAGCATAGGAGAGTGGAACAGGGGAGGGGGAGATGTACCACCCCCCCAACAACACCACAGGGGTCCCCGCTCAGTGTTCCCTCTAAGGTGAGTTAGTGTGAGCCAGCTCAGAGTTTTTTAGCCTCCGGCTCACACAGTTTTGTCTCAGCTCAGGAAGGAGGGCTCCAGAGCAAACTAATTTATGCAGCAGCCAAATCGCTCGCTCACAACTTCAATGCCCGCAGCTCACAAAGTAGAATTTTTGCTCACAAGACGGCTTAGAGGGAGCATTGGTCCCGCTCCTCCTTGTGCCCATCACATCTCCCTCTGCCGGTTTTTCGGCAGCTCAATCACACGCCAGCGGATTCCATCCATCATGTGATGTCTGGTTCTGAACGATCACAGCGGCAGCAGACATTCCAAAGGAAACCCCAGTTGCAAAGCCAGATGTTTCCATCTTTAGGAACCAATTAACAACCAGCCGCAGAGGAAGGGGTGAGGAAGAAAAATAAGTGTTTTCTACATTTGCTTTCTCTGCTTCAGTTTTCAGTCCCACCCCGAAATGCAAAACGCTGGTGGAGTCATCTCCCTCCTTTCCCCCTGTGCGGGATTTCCCATGAAGACTGGGGCAGCCCCCCCCCCTTGACGTGGCACGTTGCCCCTCCTAAGGAAAGAAGGGAGCGGAAGAGAGGAGGGGCCAGACCTATAGCTTCAGGGGAAGGGGGGGGGGGAGACCGTTGTAAGCCGCTGGAGTGAACATGTGGCAAAAAAGAAAAGAAAAAAGAGCTAGAACAGAAATTGCAGTAGGGAGTGAGGCCCGGCCTTTTTTGGCAGTGCAGAACTGGGAGAGAGAAAAGTCCTTTTAAAATCAACCGTTGGGCAAGGGACGGTGTTGGATTCACCAGGACAGCCACTGAGAGAGCGCCTTTGAGACTTTAGTTCCCGTTGCCTTCCCCGCCATGTCCACACTGTCTAAAATCCATGCCCTTTTCAACATTGCTTCCCAAAGGGGAAACTGTTCTGGCTTCCCTGTGGATCAGAGATGCCACGGGAATCTGGGGATTGTCAGCTGCGAGTGAAAGATTCTGCTGCCTGGATCTGTCGGCATCCAAGGGTGACGGTGTGGGCACGGCTCAAATGTCCCCAGATCCCCCTCTGCATCTCAGGCCTGGCCTAAGACACATCCAGCATCCCAAAGCAGGTCGGCGCCACCGCTGTTGACCCTCAGTGGGGCACGAGCCAAGGAAGGGCGAGAATCCGGTTTCGGAAGGGAACAACTGCCAGGCCTCACGCACCAGTTGGGATGCCTGAGGGTACCATCCCACCATTTCCTGAGCAGCCGGCAAGGGCAGTATGGGCTCCTTTTGTAGCAGGAACTCCTTTGCATATTAGGCGACACACCCCTAATGTAGCCAATTCTCCAAGAGCTTACAGTAGCCCCTGTAAGAAGAGCTCTGTAAGATCCTGGAGGATTGGCTACATTAGGGGTGTGTCACCTAATATGCAAAGGAGTTCCTGCTACAAAAAGAGCCCAAGGGGGAAAACCTTGCCTCTTCATAGCAGGTGACAGCAGGGCAGAGGGTGGGCCTCAGGAGGCCTGGCTGGCCAACAATGACATCAATGGACTCTAGAACAAAGTCGGAGTCCAGGGGCACCTTGAAGATCAACAAAGGTTAATTCTGGGTCTAAGCTTCCATCTGCATGCACACTTCCTCAGCTGCATGCACACAAAAGTTTATACTCAGAATTAAACTTTGTTGGTCTTCAAGGTGTCCCTGGACTCAAATTTTGTTCTACTTTGTAATTAGTACAACAGCCCTTTGAGGTAGGCCAATATTATCAGCATCCCATTGCAGAGGAGAGGCTGAGGCAGAAAGAAAGTGACGGGCACAAGACAACCCAGGGGCTTTGCAGGAGAGGCAGAACTTGAACACAGGGCCTCCTGGCTTGTTCACTCCCTCACCACACCCCCTTCATTGGGCATCTGGCTTCCACGCCATGCTTGCTGGCCCTCCAAGGGCAACTGAATCGGCCATTGTAGATAGGAAACAGATGCTGGACTCCATGGACCACTGGTCTGATCCAGCAGGGTTCTTTCTACATTTTTATGCTTGAGTATGAAGTTCCACCGAACTCAGGGACCAAGTGACTGGTCTGCAAATTCTGTGCAGATTGCAGTTCTTCCAAGCTGGGCTTCCTCCCGAGTAAACACGTCTTGGGCAGGACTGTTCCCTCTAAGCTGTGGAGTCCTGTGAGCAAAAAATTCTACTTTGTGAGCGACTGGCATTAAAGTTGTGAGCGAGCAATTTGTCTACTGCATAAATCAGTTTGCTCGGGAGCCATCCCTTCCTGAGCGAAGGCAAAAATGTGTGAGCCGGAGGCTAAAAAACTGTGAGCTAGCTCACACCAACTCAGCTTAGAGGGAACACTGGTTGGGATACGCCTGGAAATTTGGGGATGGAGCCTGGGGAGGGCAGGGACTTCAGTGGGGTGCAGCGTTATAGAGCCCACCCTCCAAAGCAGCCATGTTGTCCCGGGGAACTGATCTCTGTAGTACCCTGGGGATGAGCTGTAATCCCAGGGAATCCCCAGGTCTCACCTGGAGACTGGCACCACTAAACTAGAGCCCTCGGGTCAAGCCCGTAGAGACAGCACTTGCTCCCAGTCTGTCCGGACCAGTGTTCCCTCTAAGCTGAGTTAGTGTGAGCTAGCTCACAGTTTTTTAGCCTCCGGCTCACACATTTTTGTCCTAGCTCAGGAAGGATGGCTCCAGAGCAAAAGACTGTATGCAGGAGCCAAATCGCTCGCTCACAACTTTAATGCCCCCAGGAGCTGACAAAAAACAATTCTTGCTCACAGGACTCCACAGTTTAGAGGGAACATTGGTCCAGACTCCAGCCCCCCCCCCTGTACCTTGAAATAAGCCACTTGGAGGTAGTTGTAAGGGCTGCGCTTGCCGAACTCCAGCTCGGTCTCTTCCCCCAGGTGGTACCGAGAGGCGCCGTCGGGGAGGCATCGGCGGAGGCAGGCGGCGCGGCGGAGGAGCCGCTGGAAGAAGCGGAGGTCGTCGAGCTGGCGCCGCTGTCGGGCTCCCGCCGGCTGCGAGGACGAGTCGGTCCCGGCGGCGTCGGTGCGGTTGGCGTTGGAGCAGAGCAGGCGGCAATGGACCAGGCGCGCCCGGTGCGCCTCCCGAGACCTCAGCGCCCGCTCCATCTGCAAGATGACGGCGCCCCAGTCCCCCCGCCCGTAAGAGTCCGCGCCGGCCGCCAGCAGCATGTCGGCGGGCGGCAGCAGAGCCGGGTCCGCCTCCGCCCCGACCGCAAGCCGAGATCCCGCCCCGACGGGCAAGAGGCCCCGCCCAGCGCTCGCAAGCCACTCCCCCTCAGGAGCCTCCGACTCCGGCCACAAAGGCCAGATCGGTAGGCTGCCAAAGCCCCGCCCCTATCCCAAAGCCACGCCTCCTGCTTTTAGAGTCCAGTCTGTCGTCACGCGTAGGCCCCGCCTCTCACTTCAAGCCACGCCCCCTCACTCTCTCCCGCCCCGCAGGCCAGATCGGTGGGCAGCCAGCAGCTCCGCCCCTATTCCAAAGCCACGCCTCCTGCTTTTAGCGTTCTCTCTGCCGTCACGCGTAGAACCCGCCTCTTCCTTCAAGCCCCGCCCCTCACTATCCCCCACCTCGTCCACAAAGGCCAGGTCGTTAGGTAGCCAAGAGCTCCGCCCCCTTCCAAAGCCACGCCTCCTGCTTTCGAGTTCTCTCTGTCGTCACGCCTAGGCCCCGCCTCTTTCTTCGAGCCTCGCCCCCTCGCTGCGCCTCCTTGAGGCCGCGGGGTGTCAACCACGCGAGAGTTCGTTCGGGAACGGGGAACCACGAGAACAGACTAAGCCACGCCCCTCGCTTCCTACCGGACCGGCTTAGCCTCTAAGTCCCGCCCCCAATGCAGGTGGTCCCGCCTCCTTTTGGAATGTCAGGTGATAGGTATCCAATCACTCGTTGTGGGCGGGGCTGAGGCCAGCTTCAGAATGGCGGTCAACGGGGAAGCGGAGTCCGGGGTGGGGGCTGACGGTGGAGCGGCTTCTTCGGGTCCGGCTTTGCAGGGCTCGTCGCTGGTGGAACGCGGTAGCGTCGGGGGTGTCCAGCTGAGGCCCGGCTCGCGGAAGGCGGATCCCTTGGACCTGGTGGCTCTGGCCGAGGAAGTGCAGAAGGTGGGGCGCCTCTGGGCGTGTGCAGAGTGCCCCCAGGGCTTCCCGCTGCCGGGTTTCCGCAGAACGCCCACGTTGTCCCTTGATCATTCGCAGAGTGTCCCCTGAGCATGTGCAGAGTCTCCCTGTCCCTCCCACTGTTGGGTACGGGCTCTCAGTGTTCCCGATTCATCTGCCTCTGAGTAGGTGCGCAGGACCTCGTTTTCTTGTTGACTTCGAGGGAAAGGCAGGTGAGACGAACACTTGCAGTGTGCCTCTCTTCCTATGAAGCAAGGCGTGTATACAGTGCACCCCCTCCATGCTATGGACGTGTAGAGTAATTGAATACTGAGGTGATCTGAAGCAAAGCGTAGGCTGCCTGCTTCTCCATCCCCCCCAAGCCAAATACGGATTTAGTTTTGATGGCTTGGCTAAAAATATACCTACACCTCATTCTGTGCGATTGGACCCGCCCTCCCCAAGCAATAGTATCACCATAAATGTAAATATGGGTGTTGTGGGCCATGATGTTAAGTACACCTGCTTTAGTCAGAGGTTCGGCCTCCCTTGAGTTCAATAGGGCTTATGCTTCCTCCCAGGTTAGCATGCCTAAGAGTTACAGAGTGTGGCCCTGATTCTGTGCACAGATTTCCATAAGAATGCGCCAAGGACAGTGGACTGCAAAAAAGGGCGATTGTGCATATCACCAGGAAGCCGTTCACTTCCCATTGTGCACATGGACCTATTTCAGCAGTTTGCAGCCCTTAACTGGCTGTTGGGAAAATGCTCCTTTAAATATACAGTTTTATTCCAGTGACATTTTTAAGACAAGCAAAGTTTAAATCTGGGTATAACTGATTGTGTGCATGCAGATTTCTGAAGAGGTGTTTATGTACACGAAAGCCTGCGCCCAGAATTAGGCTTTGTTGGTCTTAAAGATGCCACTGGAATCAAAGTTTGTTCTCTTGCTTCAGACCAACACAGCTAGCCACCTGAATCTTTAAATGTACAGGGATTTTTTAAAACATTGAGGATGATCTGTAGCTGTCCGGTAAGGTTTCTTTACAGTCTTCTTTCTTTCAGTCTTCCCGTGTTTTGCGAAGGCTTGGGCCAGGAAGCCAATCTTCCCTCTGTCATGAGGGGCCTTTTGCACCCATGATACTTTTCCTGCAGGGCTAGAAGCAAGAGATTTTTAATCTTCACTCAGTTGCCTGTGGTGGTGAGCCCAAAAATGCTGTGTGTGGGAAGGGAGTCCTGCATTTGAGCTGGGGCTTGGAATATTGCAGGAGTCATTCTAAGCACGTGCAAAGTGTCTGTCTTTCATTTGCATCAAGGGCTCAGTGTTTCCATTCAGAATTTCAGTGGCTGGGCAGGAAAATCCAAAAGAGTCTCTTGGCTTCATCTAGAAGTCATCTAATGCCTTCTGTTAGGACCAATCCCAAATATTAGAATGTGCACGAAAGTTGTTGGGTTTTTTGCAAATCAACGTAGACTACATATGATGCTTGTGGCACCTTACAAACTTATAGGTTTCTTGGGGCAGAGGCTTTCAAGGGCTAGAGACTACTTTGTCAGATGTGTGAAATGGATCCAGTTAACAGATATATATACATATGCAGGAAGGTAGAGAGAAAAAGAAAACTTGTGGGCTTTAAGGCAACTTAATGCCAGAGGTCTAGCCTGTGACATTTTGATGCACAGCTCAGAAGTATATAAGTTATAATAATGAAGAGATTGGATTTATACTCTGCCCTTCACTCGAAGTCTCAGAGCGGCTTACAAACTCCCTTCCCCTCCCCACAACAGACACCCTGTGAGGTAGGCGGGGCTGAGAGAGCTCTTTCTAGAACTGTCCTTGAGAGAACTGCTCTGCCAGAACTATGGCTTGCCCAAGGTCATCCAGCAGCTGCAAGTGGAGGAGTGGGGAATCAAACCCGGTTCTCCCAGATTAGAGTCCACGTATTTAACTACTACACCAAGCTGGGCAGTCTCCCAAATTAAGTATATTAGAGTGTGCAGCATAGCAGACACATGAAAGTACGGTACCATATACTGAATCAGACCACCCATCGAAGTCAACATTGTCTACTCAGACTGGCAGCAGCTGTCCAGGATCTCAGGCAGAGGTTTTTCACATTACTTAATATCTGATCTGGAGGTGTGGGACCCTAATCTGGGACCTTCTGCATGCCAAGCAGATGCTCTACCACGGCCCCTCTCTATATTGGCTTAACATTCACTGTATGTTGCTTCAAACTGTACATGAGGCCTTATATGATTGAATGCTCCTGTAGACTTATATGTAGAAAACTAGCACCTCTGAAAATATCTTCTCCCAGATACACTGGGTTTCTGTGTGCATGGGGTTTTCATTATGGAGGAGCATTCTATCATCTGAGTCCTGCCTGTAGATAGATCCATGATCTCTTCACAGGGGGGGAATTCTGCATTCTTTGCTGCTAAAAATAAAGAGCCGTTTGCATTGGCAGTGTGGAGGATCCTCAGGGGGTCTTCTGTGGATATTCTCCTCCATCAGTTGCATTTCCCCCTGCATTTTCCCTTTGCCATTTCCTTGGAAGGGGTTTTTGAAGGCTAAAAAAATCCCTCAGTAATTGCTATAAGACTTTTTTTTACGCCCTCAAAAAGCTCTCTGGTGGTACGTCAGGGGAAATGGTGGCTGTGGGCGGCTGACAGAAGATGCCACCACTGTGGCTGGGATCTTTGAAAAATGTGCGCTTATCCATCCAGAATACACACTCATTTGCTTGCACTGTATTCTTTCAGGGAAAAGATCATGGTAAAATCAGGTTGGAGTGAGAGAGGGGGCATGGCTCAGTGGTACAGCATCTGCTTGAGATCCAGTTTGGTGTGGTCCCATACCCTAATCTGGGAGAACCAGGTTTGAGTCCCCACTCCTCCACATGCAGCTGCTGGTGTGACCTTGGGTCAGCCATAAGTTCTCTCGGAGCTCTTATCTCACGAGCAGTCCTCTAAAGAGCTCTCTCAGCCCCACCTACCTCACAGGGTGTCTGTTGTGGGGAGGGGAAGGGAAAGGAGATTGTAAGTCGCTCTGAGACTCCTTTGGGAAGTGAAGAGCAGGGTATAAACCCAATCTCCTCCTCCTTCCTCCTCCTTCCTCCTCCTCATGCAGAAGTTCCAGGTTCCATCCCCAGCATCTCCTGTCAAAAAAAGTTCAGGTAGTAGATAATGTGAAAGGCCTCTGCCTGAGACCCTTGAGAGCCGCTGCCAGTCTGAGTAGACAATA